CAGCAAGGTTGCGCAGCCTATGGTTGGTGGTTTGAGCAACGAGGATCTCTGGATATTGGTCCGACGATTTGACAAGGTAGAGCGAACCGAATGAAATCTGGGCCGTAGTTGTGCCATTCGTGGAGATGCTGATATTTCTTTAGCAAATCTTTCACGTCAAATCGATACCCGAGCCACCGGTGAGCTTGCCATTCCAACTTGCCGCATATCAGCAGCTAAATATAGATGGGCAGCTTGCAAACCTGGATATGAACATCGCCGACGAGGAGGAATTCTCGCCTGACAAACTCCGTGCCCATGTCGAGCGCTTGTACATGACTGTCGTTGTTGGCTTATTCTCCTTCTGGAAGCACATTGTCCGCCTTCGCTCATGGCGCGAATACAGGCGCACCTCACTCTTCCTCGCAGTTTACTCCATCGCCTGGATCTTCGATTACGTCGTCCCCGTCTTCGCCAGCTTCCTTATCGTTTTGATCCTCGTCCCGCAATCGCGAGACTTTTGTTTCCCTCCCGCCCCCGCTTCCCTTATCGACAGCAAAACCGGCGGCGTCAAGAAACCCGCATCCGGCGTCCTCGCGTCCGATGACTCCATCACCGGCGCACCCGAGAAGCATGCTGGAGAGGCTGTGGAACAGGAGGCGTCGAGCTTCGTGAACAGCATCTCATCGCTGATCATCAGCACGGCGGCGGGAAAACATCCTCAAGGCGATCCTCACGACGACTCTTCTGTCCCCGACCCTACTAACATTACTCAAGATGTCGTCAATGCCAAGGATAAGACGGACGGCAAGGAACCCACTTCCCACCACGACAAGACCAAGAAGCCTGTTCACGAGTCCGTCTGGGTCAAGGCCAGGCCTGTGATGCATGGCATCGCCGACGTGAGTACTCTAACACCTAAGCCACTTGTTCATGTTACTGACAGAATGCACAGTTCGTCGATACCTGGGAGCGTTTCGGAAACGCGCTGAGTCCAACACCACCATTCCCTCAGCAGAGACCCCGTCTCGTCCTTGCTAGCGTTATCTTGCCACTGCTACTCGTCTCTTTGTTTACAACCTCATACATGCTGGTCAAGGGCACAGGGTTTATGGTTGGATTCACCATCTTTGGGGACCCTATCATCCAAAGAGGCCTGGTGTTTATCAACCGGTCAGTTTTTCTTTCAACGTTGATTACTCGCGTGTCTAAAGTATGTCCAGCACCTACCCTCAATGGCAGAAGTATGTTGAATTGCGAAACACCATTCTCAAGGGCATTCCCACCAATGCCCAAGTCGCCATCACGCTCCTGCGCATTGGCGAGCGGAACAAGGCCCCCCTTCCACCTCCGCCAAAGTCCGATGTACCGCCACCTGATGAGCCTCATGCGACCGCTGGCCAGGATTTGGAGCATCTTGGTAAGTCACTCATGAATTCAATGTGCTGCTAAGCACTGGCTCATAACTCACCAGGCGTCGATCAAGCAGAGATAGATGAAGCGATTCAGCCCGACGGAGCAGCATTGGCGCCGGCTGAATCGGAAACGGCAGAGCACAAGCAGAAGAAGGGCCATCGTATCATGAACTTCATCAAGAGCACTGCCAAGGGCGGTATTAACACTACTCTCGCCGCGGACAAGGTAAAGGCCAAGGTCGGCGCGAAACACGCAAAGGACAGGCTGGGCGTCGTCAAGAAGACTCCCGACCCCGAGAAGGGTCCCATCCGCTTCCCGGCGCGCTGTAAGGGTAAGAGGGGCCATGCTTATATCACGACCACGGCCACGACCCCGGCGCTCAGTTGGACGACGGAGTCGGATGATTTGAGTCCCACCTGGACAATCACTATTGGAGATATTGAGGTGAGAACTGTAGGCACTGTTTCTCCAGATGTCATGACTGACGTGTACTCCGCTAGCAAATTCGCAAAGTTGGCGGTCTTGGCTGGAAGTCCAAAATATTTGTCGGCTGGGCTACCGATCGTGAGATTGCAGATGGCCTGATTGTGACAGATAGCATGGGCAAGGAGTACCATCTTACTGCCATCATTTCGAGAGATGAACTCTTCAACCGTCTCGTGGCCTTGGGATCGCAGATGTGGGAGGCCTGGTAACGAGATCATGACATTTATGACAAGCAAAGGAACTGTAACATATACACGGCGTTCCAGAGAGATTGAAAACTTCAGGAGAGGTACGGCATCACATTCCATAGCTGTACAGTAAACGGATACATCAATGACGAGTTTACGAAATGGGCTTGACGAGTTCTTGAGTCTTCACCATCAAATGGGCGAATTGCTCTACGTTAGTACAGGAACATCTCAACCTACGAATTTGGTTTCACACATCTGTGGTGCCTTCCTACCTTACGTACCTTAGACCTTCTGTAAATCTTCGTGTCATGGTGTCTGAAATGTAGAGAAGCTGCAGGTTGCCCAACTTGCTGACAAAAGAGATCGATGTCTATGCACCTGCTTATCGAGGCCTCCTATTACGACCAATGACCTGCCTGACCTATTCAAAAGTCATCTATATTGTTAAAATCTCATAGCGACCGTACCATCTGTAAACTCCTGCCTCCCTCCTCCGTCTACCTCTAACCTCTCGAGCTCTCTGCGTGCTCGTCGTGTGCACTGCCAACTTTACCAAGTTTTCTCCCCCGCCTCTCAAGATACGCAATGAGTAAAATCACCGGCACGGTCAACGCACCCGTCACTAGACTAGCAATGTATCCTTTCCGGTAACTAGGTGCGTCCGTCACGGGGTAAAAGATCAGAGGCCACCATGTCTACGTTCCATTAGTCCAGTGCCAAACAAATGCGAACGGGGGTGATAAGAGTAGCCTACTCACCACAAATGCAAAATCAAACGAGTTCATGAACCCCGTCGTGATCGCCCTCAGCTGCAAATCGTGCGCCGTCAGGTCCGCCATCCACGAGTACCACAGCGCCTGCGGCGCATATGTTGTGCCCATGAGGTAAAACGCGAAAAAGTACCCTGCGTCCGGCGGGTCCGAGATCAAAATTGCGCTGCTGACGATGAACGTGAACCCGATGCACAGCGAAGCCTGCCAGCGGGAGCGAAGCTTATCGGAGACAGCGCAATAGATGAATGTCGCGACGATGCCCGTGGCGTATGTCGCGGTCGGGTAGTTGTTTTGCTGGATTACGGAGTAGCCTCGGGATGCCATCCAGAGGGGTATAACGTTGTTGCCTATTGCTTGGACGCTGAGGGAGTAGACTTTAGTCGCATGTCAGTACCCATACAACCTAAGGCTAGACGCTTGTGAAGACTCACGCATGAAGACGGTTGGAAGGAGCCAGAACTGCCAGCTGAGTAGGACACGTTGGAATACACTCCTGTCCCATGCTTTCGTCTGTGTTCTACCGAGGCGGGTGACGGCGAGTTCCCTCTCTTCCGGGGTCAGGAATCTTGCTGCGCGATGCTCTGGTAGGTCCGGAATGGCGAACCAGCCTGTTGACATGTCAGCTTTATATCAAACAGTGGTATGGAAACATGTAGGTACTCACCAAAGACGGCAAAGGGAATGGTGATGCACGAAACCACCACGAAAATAAGTCGCCAGGGCTCAATCGGGCCGTCAGACAGAGACGCCAGGAGTCCCGCCTGGATCCATCCTCCTGCCATGTTGCCGAGGTTGCCAAAGGCGCAAAAGACTGCTGCGCGGGTGGCCAGCTCGGATTGCTTGTACCATGACCCGTATATGAAATGCGCGCCGACGCTGAGGTGCGGTGTTAGAAAGGTAACTGTGCGAGGCGCACGGGAAAACTTACTATGCGATGGCGGAAAAAGCGCCTTCGAAGCCGTTGAGGACGAAAACTTGGTAGACGTGTGTTGCTCTGAATGTGACGAGAGTGAGGACGCTCCAGACTGTGTTCGCTGCGACGAAGACGTAACGGGGTTTCACGATGGTCAGGAGTGAGGTTGAGGGGATTTGAAATACGGCGTAGGTGACTAGGTAGATTGTATGCATGTAGTTGAAATCCTAGAGTCGAGTGAGTTGGAAAATCAATCACTCATGCAAACCGAGGTGCTTATTTGATGCTGCTCTTGCGGGAGTGTCGCAATTTACTCACCTTTCCTTGGAAATTCAGGTCCTCCTTCATGCCGCTGATATACGCTGTATTGTAGCTCGCGCGATTGACGCCGAACAAGAACCACACGACAGAGAAGTAAATGAGCACAGTGAAATCAAGCTTGATAAGCAGCGATCGCTCAACCGACGGCGGGCCCCAGAGGGCTTCCTTGATCTTTGACACCATCTCAGACACTGGCTGCTCACGTTTTCGATGTGAGAGTGTCGAGCCGGGAAGCAGCGGCGCCGCCTCTCCAGAGGTTGCACCCGGCATTTTGTCTGTTATTTGAAGCAAGCCTGCACGCCAGCCCGCGTACTACCATCCAGGGTGTCACTGGGGTTCAACGATGTCGTCTTGAAGGGTTGCACATTTCGCCATCCCCAAATATCCCATGGGAGATAAAGAAGGGAAGGTCGTTGGGCTTAACCGAGGTTCGGCCGATGTCTCTAAGCGCAACCATGAAGGGTTGATCCTGTCATCAGAGTTACACCCGTTCGGTACTAAGGCTTACAAAGGTTCTCTGGATCAGATGCTGAACCCCGCCTAACCCCACTACCCGCGGATTGCGCGATCTTGTCCGTTTTGATGGACATCTGAATGGGATTAGAGATAAGACCGTCAGCTTCAAAAACCCCGACTTCTTCATGCAACCTGTGCCGAAATAAGATAACTCCTGGAAGATCTTCAATTGGTCACTAGGTTTCATAAGTATCATCGGTACATTTATTTAGACTTGATATCGGTCTATTTGCTTCACGGTTGATGATAAAAGAAATTTTGGAAGGGATCAATAAATACCCTCATCATCTAATTACTATGCGTGTCAATTATTCCACGTTCGAGACAATACTGCTCAAACCCGACTGAATGAGCAGGAACCAATCAATTGATCACGGATCTCCTAAAATGTATTCAAGCAAGGGTCTAGTCAAACAAAAAAGACGATAAACGTTGTCTTGCCTCTGCATCTTCCCACTCCACCAATATCCGTTCTTTGGACTCCTCCATCTTGATTTGCACCATGGTTTCCATAGCAGCTTGCTCTTCCGAGTTAAGAAGATGGATCCTAGTCTTCCAAAGCTCGCTTTTGGGGATATTGCCATTCGGGTCACGTTGGCCAAAGAACTTTTCATCTAGATATTTCCAGTAAATCGCATCGAATGCCCAGCTCTTTCTCGCGGCATAGTTTAGCCAGAAACGCCCCGTGGCCCAGCTGTCCCGCATGTACGCTGAGAGCGGGAACGGCAAACCTGAGTTCCCCGCCTCCTTCTCTGCGTCTTCCAAGGCTGACAGCCACGTCGGGAGACGCCTCTCGTAATCAGTCGCCCAATCGTCAACACCATTTTCCCTGGATTCGGGTACATCGAGCAGCAGCCACCAGGGTGAATCCAACGTGAATTGAGTTGGCGCGACGTACGAAAATTCCCAGTTGATAGTCCCAAGAACGTTGCCATTGTCATCGACGACAATATTATCCGGCCTAAAGTCGTCACACCACAAACGGAAAGACCCCGAATTATCAGGCATCGGCATGGTCGCACGCGTGTGCTTGGCCAGGGCTGACCAATCATCCTGAGCAAAGCCAAAGCTCGATAATCGGCCTTGTTTGGCTAATCTGCGGAAAAGTTGGCGTGCGACGTATTTGGTCCTGCAGTCATCTTCCGAGGATATCATGTCGTTGTGCTGAAAGAGGAGCGTTGCCATTTGCATCTCGGCCAGTTCCACGTACCACTCATCGGCCGTCTGGTATGTTGTGTCTTTCGCCGGTAACACCGACATTGGTATGTTGGAAAGTTTGACCATATTACTCATGTTGAAGGTAACGGGTCGTCCTGCCACGCAGATAGATCCTGGGCTGGTCTCGACAAGAGCCCCAATACGCGAGAACGTAGGTCGTGTAAGCTGCAGCACGCATTGTGCAATGTTGTAATAGAGGTCCTTGAGTTTGATTTCGGGAATATCAGGGTCCAATAAGAGCGTACCAGAACCGGGCGGTGACAGGGCGTGCCCCAAGGTTTTTCGTGACCCCATGTCTTGGATAATGAGGAACGGGCCGAGGTCAGAAACGGGGTCGACACCATACTGGTAAACCTTGGGAACTATGAGTTGAGTAAATTGGGCAAGGTATCTCGCCGTCGCGGCTTCGCTAAGCATCATTTCTTCATGTAGAATGCCTTGACTGAGACAAGGCAGGCGTATCAAGACATTTGCGGGAGAAGCTTCGCCGTCTTGTCGGAAGGGATAGAGGACATGGAATCCACCGAGAATCACCGGTTCGATGACCTTTCCGGGCGAACCCTTCACGGTCTCGGCAAAGGCTTCAACCCTTCGAGAGTGTGATCTCGATGAGATTTGCTCAACATCTTCGTCCCAGAGTTTATCGGTCTGGTCCCATTTCAGGTTGTCAGAGTCCTGCCGAGCTGCCATTGCACTGATAAACGAGGAGAGTGAAGAAGGAATGCAAACGTGGAAGGGCTGGAACCACCAACCAACATCGTGTGGTGTATAATGCCGTGAGTGCCTGAGGCTGCAAAAGTTGTTGGGCAGCTGAAGGCCATGGAAGTTAGTGTGGGTGTTGGTGAGTGTCTTGGCCATAACAGGCTTAAGGAGGCGTAGCAGTTGACGTCCAACAGTGAACCCCTTGACGAAACCTGTAAGGTCCAAACAAAGACATCAGTTCACCCAGCTTTTGGTGAATTCTGCAGAATCAAAGCAATATGGGCGGTAGAATGGTGACAGCACGTCGGACTCACTAGTTCACTCCACAATTCGAGATCGATGGGAGCATGTATTGAACAACATACATGTCCTTCACGATAGCAGCCTCACTGCGCTTGCTGATATGAGTATCAGATAAGTAGAGGTATCCAGACCCCACCAGCAGTAAATGAACATTTCAAAGCCGAAGATTCAAGCGTGTGGACGAGTATGACAGGGCGGGCGCGTAAGGACATGAAGCTAGGGAGAATGCAGTTGAGGGTCTTCTCCACGGGACATATGTTCAAAGACATGAATAATAAAGACAGCAGTGAACGCCGGATGGTAAAATGTTGAAAGCTTCAGAATACTTGCTCTTGCCAACGCCTAAGGTTAAAGAACAAGGATTCAAGCATCCAGGCCTGGGAATAGTCATGAGCGGTAACACGTCACTGAAGAAGAAAGAATTTATTCTAACTTTGCTTTGAGCGAAAATAACGGCAAGGAATCAGATATTCAGCACGAAGGTGAACATCGGGCCGACGAACTTTTGCAGACGTAAAGGCTTACGAGCTGTCCTACGTGATGAGTCAATGTGGGAGGCGGCGCTATGTTTTCAAACAGCTGGAGGGCAACGATGCTTGGTGAAAGATGGCAGGTACATGGCCAGATTCAACAGATCTCCGGGATAAGATGGTAGGTTCGGCTACCTCGCATACATTATATAAGAGACAGTTCAGTTCCTCGTGTATCAAGAACAGGCGGCTAGAAGGAATACCGTACTTCAATCTCTACTCTCAATAACAATCTACCACTTCTTATCACGATCAATAGTCGCCTCAACGATCGCAGCCTATTAGTCAGATTTATTTCTTATAAGCCGTTTCCATGATACGAACTATAGTACGCTATCATGATCTAATGAGAAGCAGTGACGAGGTGTACAGTCACCACCTACTTCTATGGGTGTGGCCATAAGAATAGAGTAGAAAGGGTTGACTGCGCTGATAAAGGCACGCCACGATGTGTGCTCGAAGAGCACCGCGAAGTGACTTTGACTACTACAGCAAACTGCGGAAGCACCCGATGCAACAGCCCTTCGTCATCTGATTGATGGTCTCAAAAAGTAGAGCTCGTTCCCAAGAGTTGCTGGAGGAGCGAAGTATGGACTGTCGGAATGCGAGCTGAGGACGTACCCAGATTCTAGAGTGTCTCATTGAAATAACGGCGTGGGTTATTTGATCACAATCATTTTTGACATTCACACACCATAATTGCCGGAATTTGAGGCAGTAGATAACAAGTCACGAGGAATGGCTCTAAGTTAGTTCGTAATGATCTACAGTCAAAAAAAATAAGGTCTAGTCCACATATGCCTCATTACGCACGGAGTTGGAGTGACGGCCTGATGACAAGCCGTGTGGGAAACTTAAAGATTTGTGTAGGGTCAACATCTTGAAATCCAAGTGGGAGTCATTCAACTTTCTCGGTTGTCCGTTTGGTAGGTGACTGCAGGAGCATAATTAATTATTCGAACCTAGGGTTCTTCCTAGGCTCGTCATTGTATCGGGATTTTGGAGGCAAGTAAGAAACTTTGGGAATTCTTGAGGAAGGCTGCATACGATGGAAATCTAAGTCTATTCACTTGCAACACCTGACTAGCTGCTGTCTTTGATGCCTCGCTAATGCAAAAACGTAAAAAATGGCAGACGTCTGTGTTAGCCGCATCGCGGCCAGTTCATCATTGATGAGAGAGTTGTGAAACTAATAGGCCCAGAAATGAAAGTAAATTGATTAATACACTGATTAAGGGCATGTATCCTTATGAACAGCCATCCAGCCAGGAGCAGGGTGCATCCAAAAGATACTTCCTTCGGCTTTACTTGGCCCTACTTAGTTTCTGTCAAAGAGAAATGCTCGCCCCCCGTTTCTCCGCGCAAGTTTCATGTGCAGAAATGTGAGGCAGCAGCAATAACCAACAAGGGATCACTACTGTTCGAGAGGCGAAGCCAATATCGGTAAAGTAGATAAACCTGGGTAGTGCTTGGGGGCAGAGAAACGCATCGCAAGCGCGTCCAGGAACCAACTATCCAATCATAAACCATGACTGGCATGCAAGCGGATCCATACATGCCTTGTCGCGAATTCTCTGGATCAAAAATAATCAGGCAGGCGCCCAAGGCAGCCGCATCAAAGAATTATAGATACAGCTTTCTACCCCTCAACCCAATTGAGGTGGTGTTCACCCAACCGCACTACCGGATTCCAGATCATCAATCAATCCTGGCATCTCGTACTGGCTCTTAAGCTCTTCATTCCATCCTGTGTGAGATCTCCTGCTGGGCATCTCCATCTACCGCATATTGAGCGGCCGCTCAGAATCAGGATCGGAGGTCCGCGCGAATCGATAGAAAAGCTATTCCCGTCTGTTGTATGGGATACTCGCGTATTTGATGGGAAGTTTCCTCAGGAAGCTGGTCCATCACTCGCAACGCTGACGTTTCGGCACATTTACGGTGAGAGCGTCCGTTCTGATGTCCCCGGCGATTTGGTCGTACGGGACGAATACATTAGATGGATTGGAGAGGGTCATAGAATAGTAGAGTAAGATTTGATCCATTGCCGGCTGAAATGATCACAGCTAACGACATGCGTCTTTCTAAATAGCGACTTTGACTACTATGGTGTTACGTTCGATCATCTTGTTCCCGTGGATGACGCCGATCCAGAGGTACTACAACTCAACATCATCGAGGTGGAGTCTGATCATGGGAAGACCGCCAAAGAATACGTGAGATTTCCGGTTGATGCACTGGAATACGCAGGAAAGAAGGTATTGGCCGTTCCCAGATGTTGTCAGAAACGAAAGGGCACTACAGATCGCGCAAGGGTCAATAATGAGGTTTTGCACAGGGATGGGCATCCCAACCCGTGAATGCAAAGCAAGTAAAGCAGTGGTGGGCAATTGTCGTAACCGTCAACAGTTGCATGCTTAAAGGGCGGCGTAGTTTCTCTTCGCACATGGCATACGCCTTTTTTCAACAGTCATAAAAAAATGAAAACCTCTGGGGTACTGGATCATCTCCAGTTTACATCTGCCTTACATAAAGTCTCGGAACTAGCAAAGTCAACTCAATTCTATTTCAGTGCTCGCAGAAACTCCACTCCACATCTCTCAGCTCGTCATTAACAGTCTTTGACAGAACTGTCCTTTCCTTCATGAGCTCTTCACGCAGCTTCTTTGCGTCGTCCATTTCAATTAGAGCGCTCATGGTCTCAACGATGTTGTCCGCCCCCTGAACCTGGTCTCTACCCTCGAACCAATGCCTCTGTTGGGGAGGCACATTTGCCGTCGAAATCACAGGCACAGCAGGATCGACCAAGAACAAAGCCACGATCTTTCTATATCCAGGCTTCGTCGGATCCTCCAACCTAAACGGCCGCACCTTATGCTGGCTCAAGTTCGAAAAGAAGAGCGCCCTCCCGGGCCGCGTCAGCACGCTGCCCACCTCCTGCAGGGTATCAGAGCTACTACGAATAGCAAAGACCTGTTCGATGGACTTGTGATCGTACTGCTGGTAGTTGAGACGCTGATCCAGCTTCTCCCTGTTCCCTGGAGCGCGGAAAGCGAGCTGAGACTCGGTGATGTTAGCGCTATCGTAGTAGAAGAGCGCTGTGGCGCAGATGTGCTCGTTGAGTTGACCTTCGATGTGCCATGAGCCGCCGTCGTAGGTTGGCTTCTCGGGCGTGAGGTGAATGTTGGCGAGCTTGACGATGACTTGAATGCGGGGCGCGTTGTTGAAGAATCCGGTTTGTTTGATGTTCTTGGGCGACAGCCTGAAGTACGAAGAGGGCTCTCGGACTTGCTCGTCTTCGCTGTCGCTGTCATCATCGTCGTCATAGTCGTCATCATAATCTTCCTCATCGTCGCTTTCATCATAGTCTTCATCGTCGTGCTCATCATCCTCAGAGGCCGCATCGTCGCTCTTCAGCCGCTTGCTTTCGTGGGCATTTCTGCGTTGTCTGCCTACCTTCTCTCCAGTAGCAGCTGTGGGCTGGACCAAGTCGTCAATCTCCAGGTGATGTCCATCTGGCCTATCCATGGGAACATCATTTTCGTTCCCGTCTAACTGGTTTCCCTGCTCAGGGATAACATCAGGTATCGCAACACGCTTTCCGACCTTTCGCGCCCTAAGACGCTGTACCGGGAACTTTCTCACCCAGCGATAGATGATATCCCAAGCTGGTAAAGACTTCTGTATCAGCTCTTCAACTACGGGGTACAGATCTGAATGTTTCCTCGGGTGCAAGTTATTGATGTAACTCTCGATGGTGGGCCGGCCGTCGTCGTTAATGGCGACGTCACATGGTAGCCACTGGAACTTGGTGGACACCAGCTCAACAGGCGCGCCTTGCCAGTCGAAAGTCCTACCTTCGCCAACATCAGACTCGTCGGGTTTCGGTATGAGATTTCCACGTCCGCTGAATTGGAGGCAGTCATCTAATGTGATGCGTTGATGCATGATACATGAGCGGCCGTACAGGAGTGGGAAGAGTGACGGGTGCACTAAGTCGAGAACTTTACCGTCACTTCCCGGATGCCAATCCTTTTCAACGTCGGGAATATCTTCGAGAGATTTGACGGCGACCTTGAGACGATCAACCAGGGAGCTGGATAGCAGCTTGTCTGACTTGATGACACAAGTAGAGTAATCCAGGACAGGAATCAGGCCCGTTTCCTCGTACAACGTTGACTTCTTTCGAAGTTCTTGCATGCACTTGGAATATCAATGTCAGCTCAATCAACGCAATTGCTTCCTCGTGGTCATGTGAAGGTTATATGAATTGGACTGAAACATACCGCTTCGGCCATATTCCTCGTAAAGTCCCCATGGCTTCTGTATGCTTCCCAGTCCAAAGTCTGCACTTCCTTCTTCCACTTGGCGGAAATCACCGGATCTCGAACTTTACGCCACCACTCAGGCTTGTTCGTAATGTCTTCCATGAACCTGAGCATGCAGACTTCTCGAATTAGTAGAGTACTAGCTTTCCAACTCTTGTTGGTGTCTTCCATGAGCACAGGGAATCTGTCTCGCTTGTCTGGCAGGTAGTTCAGCGGCAGGCCATAGCCAGGGAGCCGAATCGCCCCGGATGTATGGGCAATAGACTGAGGTTGACGTTCATCGTTCTGGTGTTTGGACAAACGTCAGTTACCTTTACATTATATGAAAACATCGGCTGGATGCTTACGCTGAACTGGTTGAATTGTAGTTCGCTCATTTTCGAGTCCTCTAGTCGAAGAATCGAAGTTTCAGGAGGTGGGGTGTTGGAACTGGGAGTCTTCTCTCCTAAACAGATTGTTGAAGGCTTCAAGTCGTTCTCAGATGCATTTTATCCAAGGTAGCCCGTCTAGCGCATGGCGCGAATGCTATTTTATGTTCGTAACCAAAAGCCCCTAGTTTGATCGGCTCGGGGATATTTCAGCGAGCTAAAATATTGTCCGCCAGCTGCCTGAACCTAAATTTATGGAACTCAAGCAACATGACTCGGTGGCGAGATATCACTTGGGTGAATCTGTGAACACCAACATGCGGTTGCTATTCAGTGAGGCCATGAAATTGAAAGTTTGGCGACGCAAGTTTTGTGTTGAAGGGTTAGTACTTGCTGAGTCCGGTGAGCGTCGATGAGTTTCAAAATGAAAATTTCGCTCAGTCGCAGCCGCCATTTTAATGCACGTTATCCTTAAACGATGCAATTACTTGACGGGTAGTTTTAGAGCTATCTTCAGTCTTCATAAAGACAATGCACTTTCTGGACCGAGTTCACGTTCACCATGAAATACACGGTTGCCCGCTCTAGACTTGTTCTCAAGATCCCGGTAGCTGTGGGGGTCTTCAAGGCCACATTGTTGGAAAGTAATGACTCAATTGCATGGCTTGTGGATTATTCTCTTGATACTTGCCATCTTATCCCAAGTCGAAATTTGGGTGCTTGACACATGACATTCGCTGATAGATAGATGAATACTGTAGAAAAGGCGACAAGTGATGTCTGGGTAGTATTCGGCTTACTGCGGTACATGGGAACGGACCGACAATATGAGCGAGCATGAGGGGACTTTAGGTAAGGTGCCAGTGGCTGCCTAGTCTTGGCATCATCAATGCGTGGTAGGCGTGAACGTCCCGCGCTGGAAAGAGTCGGTGATACCGATTGGAAGAAGATATCTTAGCAGTTCCGGATCGTCGATTCATTTCTAAATCTTCATCTGTCTAAGTATGTGTTGCCAGAACGGTGTCGATGCTAGAGGCAGCATTGATGGACTCAAGGAACTTTCTGGGGCGAGGAATTATCAAGTGGGTTTCTGGTAGTGAGATACACCTCCAAGACCATCTTTCCCTGGAGAACTTTTCCAGCGGACTTGAAGGGGCTTATTTGGTATCACTATTATTAAGCATTCGGTCAGGAGTGAGAAAGCGGAAAGCCTAAGTGAAGTAGGTATCATCTGGATTGATCTCGGTCCCGGCACTGCCATCCACCATCTCTTACAAAGGCACCGCCAGGGCAACACCAGCAAGCGCCGCAAAAGCCCATACCGTCGCCAGTATTCCCACATGACCCCCCGACTTTGTCATTTGGAGGCAATGAGCCGCACTGGACGCCCCCGTCCCCGTCGGAGCTGAGGAGCCGCTAGCAGCCGTCGTGCCGCTCCCACCTGCGCTGCTAGTGCCGGTCTGCGCAGCCGCGTTGTAAATCATTGTCACAGCGGGTCTCGAAGCAACCGGAACCCAGGCATCCTCCCGGCCATTGGTAAAAGTCTGCGTCTTAGTTTTGATATCGTAGCTGGTGGCTGTGTACGAGTATACAGCTCCGGAGACGACGGTATTGTTGTAAGTGAAGGTCGCGGGCACCATGGTCACATTGCTGAAGACCCTTTGACACGCCGTCATGGTGCCGTAGACTGAATCTGGAACTTGCGAAAAGCACTCTCCGTTGAACCCTACAGCGTAGCCACTGATGAAGGAATCAATGTTTGTTAACGTCCAGAAAACATTTGCCAGAAGTGACCGTGAGCTTGCACTTACTCGGGACAGCAGATAACCGCAGTCTCATTGCTATCGAGAGCCTCCATAAGAACGTTGACAATGGGATTATACCCAAGCCTGTCACTCATGAACCCGGACCCAAACGGCACGCTGATGATGGGCGGAACAAAGACTCCAGACGAACTGATCGCGCCCTCGGCATTCTTGACAGCGACACCGGCCGTCGTGTACTGATCGGGACAGGCGCTTGCGGGCGAGAAGTAGGCAATGGTGCCCGCGCCAACGGTGGCAGAGGCCGCTGAGCGGAGCTGATCAAACACGGTGCCGGAGGGGAAACACTCGCCGTATGCCGAACCTTCGCATTTTTGACGGAAAAAGGGTTGCACGCGGTCCGTGAAGACGGATTCTGCGGCCAGCCAGAGGCTCGGGGATGAGGTAGCGCATGAACTGGGCGCGGTGAATGTTGTTGTCAGCGGCCCGACGTTTGTGATTGCATGCTGGGAGAGTTCGGTGAGAGGCATCTTGGGCTGGCTTGTTCCGGGAGTCGCGCTACCCTAAGCGGTATGATTCTGAGTTCTCTGAACTTAAATCGACTATGGAGCAGCTTGCAGAGCTGGGTTGAGGGGAAGTCGCTTTTAACTATAAGCTGACAGCTCTAAGGGGGTTGCCATGAGAAGGCGCCAAAGACAGTGGCTTGCATGTGTTTCTCTTGGCAAGGACATGTCAGCTCGGTCTGTCAGACTGCTCCCCAGGTTTGTCGTCACATTGGGTTGTTTGCTAGCGGCTACAAGGGCCAGGCAGACATAAGTCGGGCAAAGAGAGCATGTTGCATTTCGTCATTCCATTGCCCGATTCAGCGACAAATCTGCTGTGCCGCACCATGTCAGCGAGCTTAAGCAGTCTTGGCACAACTCAAGCCCTGGGGGCGCTCAGGAACACAACCAAAGCAAGGAAAAGGGCTCTGCGTATAGTCAGCCATGCACGGCGTGCCTCGGACAGCCGGTGGTCGGTGAGGTGAATTGGGCTAGATTGGTAGAGTGTGTGAGAGTGAGTGAGTGATTGGGCGGCATCTGTTGACGACGGATTGGTGGGAATTCCCGGCTCGCATCTTGGCGTCATGATTCGAAGGATTCGATAATCTCAACCATTCTTCTCTATCAATTCAAAGAAGCGAGCTTTGTGGGAACTCTTGAGTCGCGTTAGCAGAGCCCGCGAGCTTGCGGTCGAAGGCAATGACATCAGATGTCCCAGGTGGAAGGCCAAGGTTGGGCGTCCTCGATCCCTCAACTCGTGGCTCCGCTTGAATCCTTGCCGCTCTGCCCAAGAGTCTGCCCTACGGTCCTTGGCGAGATCTGCGTCGCCTGTCTGAGCTTCCCCGCGCCGCGATGCTAACGATCAAGATGGGTGAACAGCGCGATGGTACTGCGGCAGGTAGCGAGATCGTCGGTGTCGATCAACTTAATAAAAGCGACATGGAGCAATGACTGCGCGTTCGACTTTCGGTTGCTTGCATATGTTCATTAGTTTTTCCAGATTCGTCTTCGTGGTCTTCTGCTTTCAAGCTCACGGCCACTGTACTCAGACTGTCTTTGAAGAGACGAGTGGCCTACGCCAAATCTTGGAAACGAAATGACTTGGGGACGGCGACTTACCAATGGCGCGGATCAGGGTTCACCAACGATGCGGCTCGGCGCCTGGAATATACTCAATGGAAATGTCATTGCCTATGACTGACTCTGTGGGGATGTCTCCGGTATCTGATTTAATCCTAAACTCCGTCTGGTCCCAACTGTCCAGGGGCCGTCAATGACACGATGATGCTTTGGTTGTCCTTGTAATCCAATCCCCTCCTAACGCCAATGCCAATGCCGCGAAATAAACAAACATCATCCACCTGTACCTCATGATGAGTACCTCATCCTATGGATAGGGTCTCATGGGACGGTGATTCATGACGAGACAAATGAAAACACCCACTCAGCAGACATCCAACGTCGGGCATGCAGACTCAACGATGCGCGACGCGAGATTCGGACGCAGGACACGCTGGAAGTGACCCAACTCGCTCCTCGGCTCATGTCTCTTAACCCTAGTCTTCGCCGTCTCTCCCTCCTTGGCCTCGCTCTCGTCGACCGCATCAACGAAAGCAAGCCTGCTTCTCGCCTCACCAGCAACGATCTTGGCCGTATGCGCAATCGCCCGCTCGCTCAGCGTGAAGGGCGAGTGGAAGAGGTACTCCTCGGGCTTATCGCACGCAGCGTACCCTCCGCTCGCGGCTTCGGCCGTCTCTGAAGTCTTGGCCCAGATACAAGGCGTCCACGCCTCAGCGAAGAAGAGGTTGTCGCCGTCCTCGGTCCTGTTACCCCGGCCCGTGCTGTCTGTGAGGTCATATTCGCGCATCTGCTTCTCGATAATCGCCTCGCGAATGAAGCTGGCCGTATCGATCTGTGCAGCTACACGGCGGGGGAATGGCACGCGGAGGGCCTCGCCTTTGGGAGCAGCCTTGAGACCTTGCTCCGCGCGGGAGCGACGGTAATGGGCTGTGGCGCGCTTGCTGGCAGGGACGTAGCCGAACTTGCCTCTATCCTCCTCGGGGTTCTCAGGCTGAGGATCAGCGGTGCGCATCCATTCATCCATGCGGCCCTTGATTTCCGAGTTCCATCGCGCGGTCAGATGCGCCGCGTTGGTCATCTGCTCAGCCTTGGTGTGAGGGCTCGGCGGTGCCGGACGCTGGGCGTGCCAACCGGGGGTGAGGGAGACGTCAAAAAGCTCCGGGATGACGACGCGGAAGTTTTCGATCTCGTGCTCGTCAATGTCGCCGCCTTCGCGATCCATGTTGTTCAGCTTGTCGATGAGTGAGGCGTTTTGGTAGGCCCAAAAGTCGGAAAAGGCGACGGAGTCGTTGTCGAGGGTAGCTTGGTAGACGCGCTCGACCTGTGCGAAGAGGGCGCGGGCAGCAAGGTCTACTATACCCTGGCCCAACTCTCGTGGCAAGGAAGCGAGGGTCCAGACATCCCAGGTTCCAAAGGAGAAGACCCAGATGGTCTCCTTGGGGATGTTCTCGCGGGATTGGGGTTGGGCGAGGAACGTGTCGATCTGGGCGGCGAGGTCGGCGACGGTGTCGGCGATGGGGAACTGCTCGAGGAGGAAGTCGTAGTTAAAGCCCGGCGCCTTGTACTCTTCGATTTCACGCTGGACCTTCTCAATTGTGTCGCGATAGTGTTGGTTAGATGTCAAAGCCTGCGCTGGGAGACTGATTGAAGGGGTGAAGGATTGGTGAGAGGAGCATCGGAGCTTGAGGTCATGTTAGTCAACTGAATCTCAATGCGACACGAGCACAAAAATCAAACCTACCTCTTCGCAAAGGGCCTCAGTCCATCCCTTGCCCTTAGCTCCCTTTCCACTCGACGGCGTCGCGATATCGGGCGATCCGAACGCAACAACTCTCACACCCCCAGGTCCGAATCCAGCATCCTCCGCGCTCTTGCCAAAAGGTGACCAGCTCCATCTTGAGCCTGAATCGAATATCGTATCTGTCGATGTCGGTGATGTGAAGAACTTGCCCAAAAGGAGCAGGCCGCAAAAAGCAAGAACGAGCTGGACGATGAGCCGTGGGCCACCGCGCAAGACTCGTGTGGATACGAAGGCGAGGAGCATCTTCAGGCTCATGTCGCACTGCTCAAATGGGTTGCCAGAGGCGCTGCTGCTACTGCTGCTGCTACTGCTGTACGCCGTCGGTGATGAAGGCCGCCGTTCGTGGCGGGGGAGCTCCTTTGACATTCTGTGCGATGTGTGTCGGGGGAACTGAGTTGCGTCGTCAAAGGTGACGATGATCCTCGGGATGAGTCTAGGCGCCACGGTTGGTGAGGTGAGTCGACGGGGCGACCGGTGCGTGGCGTTTCTGCGTTCAAGTTTTGCTGTCGTTTCCTCTGTAGCCGTTGCTTAATCTTCCCCTGAGTATCGACTATCGACAATGATGACGGGAAATATGTCGGTTGCCGTTTATGTTTCGGATAATATTTCGTGATCCCTCAGCGTGGTAGTTTACGCAGTCCTTCCCAATGTAGTAGGCGCTCGTATGTGTGCTTGTGGTGTGTAGATGGAACACCGTTGTTGTTTGTGGCACCGTGCCAAGCCGGCAGTCGAAGAGGCGAAAAAGTCAATGGTCGACCGCCAAGAGGCTGCTATACCGGACGGCCGGGATGGTTACGTCGGGGACGGTTGGTGTGCCGGAATTTTGGCCGTTGATCTACTTCAGATGCTCCTTTGAGAAGTAAATAGTCACCGGAGGAGGCTCTTCGTAAACAGAGAATGAAAGCCGTGGAAACAAGAAAAAGAGTGAGAAAAGGTATCTCGGAGAGATGATCAGGTACAAAAGTGTCAAAGGGTCAAAGGGATCCAACAGGAGGAAGGACGAAACAATAGACACACTAAAGAAGATGGGAAGACGTCCCTTCAAAAAGCAACCTCTCAGACCCTCTTGCAGCACAAACCGATAGGAATTGTGGTAAGAAAAAAGGGGGCCCTTCCTCCGGCTTTCCAGGGAACATTCGGGATGTGGCCCAGCCTTGAATCATCTGGGCGCTCTCAATGTCACTAACTGACTATCACCGGGTGTGGCTACCGTACATTCTCCATGTCACTCGGTACTTTGAGATGGAAACTGGGTAAAGAGACATTCACCGTCATTACCAATGATTGGAGGGGGAAAGGCGGGAAGGCGGCTTGGTCTGATGGTCTTCTCATCCATGATCCCCGGTTCATCCCAGCTTCCACCTCAACTTGACGTTCAGGCGAGCGGGGAGTGGGCACTTCGGCGTGGTAGGCCTGTCCCTTCACCTCTTTTACTCTGCCTCATCCTCGCATTTCCAAGGAACGCAGTGGCGGGAGCACTGAGAACGAACGAAACGGGGGCAGGGCCAGCTGAGCAAGAGAGCCATAGAAACCGCACAACGTTAGTCGGCGCTTGTCACTGCGGTTGCCGCACCGTTCTTGGGTTGCTGGGGATTGTGTCATCCTTGCTTTGATGTGCAGTCGTCGTAAGCTCGAGTGGAGACCATCATCTGAATGGGGGTTCTATGGGCTTGCGAAGTGCGCGTGTGTGGCTCAGGCTTTTTTTTTTGGTTTGGTTTTCTGGGACCATGGCCCTGTTCTTTTCTCGGTCCGCCCCCTTGGAGCGGGGATCATGGCAATAAGTCTATTTCCATCTATAAGATTTCTTAGCAGTTAGCACCTAATAATTAGAGTCTATGGGCTCAGAGAAAGAAAGTGAGAGGCAGTGATTCTACAGACACTCTGTACGGATAACGGCTTTAGACTTGGAGACTCGTCGTGTCACGGTGGCTCAGGGGCTTGCAGACGTGTGTCTGCATCCGTCCAGGAGGCTGGATAGCATGTTGGTTCGTCTTGCGTCGTGTTTGATCCCCCCCGCTGTACCCGCTGCCGCGTTGGTGTCGCATTTCTGCAGGTTACGCAGCCCATTACATTTCTGGGCGTTCCGCCGTCCCTGCTAGGCGCCCCA